GATCTCTCAATCCTCAAGCAACGAGCATCAGCGTCAGAGGGAACGTCACAGGGTACGTTGAGCATTTCTTCATCGTATCCTTTCCCTTTATCAAATATCGAAATATTGATTCGAATAGGGTGGCATCCCCAGCGCTCGGGAATATAACAACTCTAGAGATATACTCCTCTCTTCCCCTCAACTGTTCATTGACCCAGCAAGTCTTCCAACAGATTCGGCACTCCTTAAACGGATACTCGTGCTACTCTCATGGCTCCACCAACTCCGCGTCCCTCTCAGAAGGAGCAAAAGTAGGCATTGGATTCGGAGCTGTTCTTGCCGGTGCCGTGATTTTCACTTGCGGTTTTTGGGTTTGGTGGCGTTGGAAGAGGAATCGAGACATAGCAAAGAGACCACCTGTGGTTGAGCATGAATTGCAAGATTGAAACAGGAGGAATGTACATGATACGAACGATGGGCCGCCGGAGTATGGCTCTATGGCTGAGACGGAGTTTGGGAGCGCGGATAGTGAGAATACGGTTGTTGCTGATGTGGGACAGGCTTCCGTGCAGAGGGCAAGAACGAATGCTAATGCTGCGGCGGAAGAGAGCCGGGGAGCCGGGTCGGCGGCTTGAGTTGGGTCGCGAATAGATTTATGTTTGCTTTATACTCGACTGCTTTCTTTCATGTCTTTCTTCCAAGCTTCCTAAAGTGGAACAAGGGGCCATTCCTCAAGGAGAAGTCACGCCGTGGCCTAGTTCTCCAGGACGAGTGTGTAGACTGCGTTTAGTTTTGTTTCTTGCAACGGGGAGGGACATCATCGCTTTTCGTGGCAAGTTCAATACTCCAGCTTCAAAGGGAGCAGTACATCTGTTTCAAGCTCGTGATTTCTCCAAATAGTTTTGGCTCAATCTCCTTTGGTCTGTCTTGGCAGGAAGTAGGTCATTTGAGTAGCATCTTGCTTCAAGAAATACGAGAGGAGGTTAGCGCCGAGAACTCCGTAGTTACGGGGCTCGCTTCCCGAGTTGGATCAGAAAGCCATCAAGGCACCTGATACAACACATTCATGTTAGTATCTCAATCGGGCGATAGAAGTTGGCGATACTGGAAAGTCCATGGACTTTCCGAGCCCCTGTGCTGCCGGCTATGAGTCATCGTCACGGGCCTAAGAACTATCTCCTCGGACTTCCTCTAAACGGAATCAGAATTTCTTTATATATCGTCGTTATAAGTTGGTACGTATTCAGGATTGTCATCCATTTCAAATCATTCTCAATGGCTTTATCCACTACCCCAACCAGCATGAAAGGCGTTGTCATCGAGCAAGCAGGTGACACCTCAGTCCTCCAATACAAAACCGATCTCCCAGTCCCCATTCCCAAAGATGGAGAAGTACTCATCAAAAACGACTTCATCGGCATAAATTTCATAGATATGTTCGTACCTCGTCCTCTCTGTCCTATCTCATCCAACCACACTGACCCAATCAAACAGAAATTTCCGCTCCGGCCGCTATCCCCTCCCTATGCCTCACATCCTCGGTGTCGAAGCAGAAGGAACTATCATCTCCACCTCCGGCAAGACTAACGATCTCAAAACCGGCACCCGTGTAGCCTGGATTGGATCTAGCGCTTACGCGGAATATAGCGCCGCCTCAACTTCAAAAGTCTATCCTCTCCCTTCGGGTCTTAAACCAGGAGTAGCGGCAGCTTCGCTATCCCAAGGCCTGACGGCGTTGACGTTCATTGAAAAGTCGTATAAGGTAGAGAAAGGAGATTGGATCCTAGTCCAAGGTGCATCTGGTGGCGTTGGGTTGTGGCTTTGTCAGTTGTTGAGAGCTGTTGGTGCGAGGGTCATTGGCACCGCTTCCTCTGATGCCAAACTTCAATTAGCAAGAGAGAATGGTGCAGAATTCGTCTTGAACTATAGTTCTGACGACATCGTCGCCCGTGTTCTCGAACTCACAAACGGGGCGGGAGTAGCAGCCATCTTTGACAGCGTTGGAGCTGCAACGTTCGATACGGGAATGAAGAGTCTGGCGCGAGATGGGACGATGGTTAGTATTGGGAATACTTCTGGTGCTGTCCCTCCTTTCTCAATTACGGATTTGTTGGCAAAGAATTTGAGGGTTATGAAACCGTCTGTTTTGGGATATCTACAGACAAGGGAAGAGTTTGTTGCGTGGGCTGAAAAATTGTTTGATTTTGTGATCAAGGAGAGGATTGATGGGATGGTTTGGAAGACGTATCCCTTGGAGAATGTTAAGGAGGCGCATGGGGACATGGAGGGGAGGAAGACGAGTGGAAAGTTGTTGTTGAAGGTCTAGAAGGGGAAGGGAGGGTTTCATAGACGAGTTGATGGGGAAATTGAAGAGAAATCGTGTATTCGAAAACCATCAATGTTTTCTTCGCCGCTCACACTTGAGAAGGATCAGGATGGCGAGGACGGTGGACGGGAAGTTCAGCCCTACGATCGGCGAAGTGCTGATGCTATCAAGATCTTGGAGCCGAAAGGCAACTGGAAGCCACGGTTCTTGGGTGTCCTGTGATTCGACTTCGACTGAGCAAATTCTTCGACCGATTTGAAGCCAGTAACACAAGGTCTCCTTCGCTCCTCATTTTGGCCCCCAATGTACAGGGTCATGAACAAAATTCTCTCGTAAAACGGTTGACCGCGAGTGGGGAGACGAGCAGGCTTAACAACTTCTTGTGATTGATTCTTCATCGGTGATAGAAGAATCACCTTTGATATTGATATTCGAATCTTGAGGGGGGGCTGAAACGAGGGCTTGATCTGATACGATGAAGTGAATTTCATTGGACAGGAAGGAACCAAGCTCTCCTACCCCTGAAAACAAGCGAGATATTTCTGTTGATCTATAGCCAGATGAAGCTTAATTTCAATTTAATGCCGGGGTTGTCATCCGAAGTTGACCCAAGCGACATCAGGGGAGACTGTGCCGCAAAGCTGCATGTTTAAGGTCTATTTACGTATCATATCGAAGCGCCACTTTCTTCCCGGTTTCTTTCTTTCCCCTTCCTCCCCAGATGTTTCTGCCCCGCGATCAAGCGCAAGACGGATATTGAAGCCATGGTATGTAAAGATACGAAATATCAAGAAGGCCATCGTGTTCAAACACTAACACCTTTCCAGGTTGTGCAATATCTTCTCCAAGTCCTGGTCCTCGCTGGTCTTTCATCTGGTGCATTAGCAGCAGCTGAAGTCAATACCACGACCTTTCTCGTTCTTCCCATTACGAATCAATCTAAAGGATTAACATTCAACGACTGGATCACTCTCTTCACACTATGCCTCGCTCCCCTTATCGCCCACATCCTTTCCGGTGTACCTAAAACCGTATACCTCGCTCAGAACAGACCCGACTGGCACCACCAACTTGGTCTCTACAATCCTACAACCATCCTATGGCGCTACTTCGCGATCGCGGACCGACGGATGAGGGCGAAATCCTGGAATGCTGCAGACATGTCAGCAAGCAACGCATATTTCTGGACACCTCGAGGCTGGGATGGATCCGAAGCGATTTCTCGAAAGAGTCGCGAATACTGCATTACACTACCAGAGACCTCACATGCATCACTCCTCTCAGCACAGTCAATTAAGACCCTCATCATCACTCTGCAGGGTGCAAACGCCGCCTATGTCCTCATCATTGGCCTCTTTCCATCCAGCGCGGCGGCCGATCTCATCTTCTCAAACACTGTTTCAATTGGCTCCATATTCTTTCCCCTTGCTGTCTTTGGACTTCTGAGGCTTTTGGCTGCCTCCTGGCTCACGGAGGAGTACGTTTATGTCAATTGCGAAAATGGCCAAACCACTACTGTTACACCGCAGCCTTCACAGTCTGATGGGCCGGAAAAGATTAAGCTCGTGCAAGTTCGCACTCCCTCCACGAATGATTTGTTGGATATGTCGGACGTATGGAGCGGGGAAGACTTTAAACCTCAAAACAACTGGAAAAGTTGGCTATTCCGCGCGTTCTTCCTTTTTCCGATCATCGGCCTCATTATTTTGTGCGTGTACTATATTGCGCCGACGAATAGATCTGGAGCTCAGAGCATACTGACTGCTACCACTTTCACACTGGTCCTCTTCTACCTGTTCTTCCTCTCAGTCACCGCGCTCGTCTATGGGTACTACTTCATGCGTGGACGCAACACAACAACGGTCCTTCCCTGTGTCACATCGCGATGGTATCAGGTGTACACCTGTTTGCTTGGAGGTTTGATGCTGGTACTCGTCGTGATCGCCTCGATCGAGACTCGAAAGTCGGCATGCGGATATTACACAACATGGCCAGTCAATTACGACCCATGCTCAGGATTTTCTGTCTCAGCAGACTTGAACGCAACTGAAGGCATCTTTGGGCTTGCTGTTAGGGGAGGCGCTGCTACCAGTGGCTTTGTGTTCGACGAGCCGAATAACTTCACAAGTATTGTGTTTTTCAACGGAGTTTGTAGTAAGACTGGGAGTGCCACTGGCATTCAGGAGGTTCAAGTAGTTGGAAACTTCACCCCATTCGAATATACGTTCGAATAGATTTCAAGGATATTTAGTATTTCAATGAATCATTTCAACACAGTATACTGCACTGAAACATTAGGTCACACATATGCTTGAATGAATCTCTGTCCTCACTCTACAAACTATGGCAAGGTAAAGTCCTCAAAGCCAGACGGACAATCGACTTGGTTCCAAAAAAGGAGCCAAGTTCGCTAAACCCATTTTCGAGTCGCTCTCCCACGCCTCCCAAGCCACTATCCTGAAGAGATGGAAATTATCGTCAGCATCAATCCTACATATCTCGTTGTCCTTCGTTCCAAGGACATCCGACAGCACCTCGACGCGTACAACCCGCCACATGCACGCAAGTGAATCTGCCTACGTCATCTCCACCCAAAAGCTCACAGAGTAGCACGTATTCGGGAGCCAGTCATCCCAATTCCCCATTGTCTGCATAGATTTAAATAAGCACTTATTTTGGACTAATCAAATACAAAGACTCCTTAGTGTAATGGCAGCACGTTTCCCACCAGTCTGGTGCTGGAGAAGGATTGGTTCGAATTCAGCAGAGGTCACTCACTCACTAGGAATCGTTTTACTCTTTTGAACTTTGCTTTTCATGTTCTTCTCTTCTGTCTCTTGAGTTTCATTTTTGTGTGGTTGTGGGGTGATTTGCTTGAGCAGAGGTGAATGCTGCTTCCTTTGCGCTTGCGACACCAAGCCAAGCTATTGACACCGGATATTGGTTCTTAGCAACCTCTCAACTTTTGTCTATGTCTCCTAAATCAAGAATAGACAATGGGAACTGCAGCCCCAGAGACTCTGTCTCTCTCTTCTTTATCCAAACTCGAACTAGAAGGGAACCGCCATACCATTAATTGGTACCCGAAACAAATCCGACCTCAACCTTACCACTCGCAGTTTTGTCAAGCCCAACGCTGTGTTATTACCCATTTTGGGAAATCACTCGCCACATCGACGCGAGGCTGAATGCTTCCAAGCTAGCTTGAAAGGAACCAACAGGGGTATTTAGCCCTTCGCAGCTTTCTTTTCTTTTTCTCGCAACTTCATAACATCATCAGAATTTACGCTCATCGACAATCTCATTCAGCCACTGTAAATATTAAAAATGATCTATGAAATATGCTATGTCAAGTTACGCGGGTAGCTGGGACCCTTGTCGTTCGGCACTTACGATGTGCAATTCGACCATCACGCCAACAGGCTGTAGCTCGAAAAGTCCGCGAATGCAGCCCGCTATCTTTGTCAAGGGATACTGTGCCAGTTGATGTTGCTCACGAAAGCGAATCCGAGATGGCGCGCAATACTTCGGACATGTATCTGGGCTCGTCTGAACAAGATGATGTTGGACCGAGAGAAATTTTGGGTACACGCTTGTCTGGCGAAGATTAATGGAATCGATGGCTCCTACCGGCTTGATTCCAAGTGGAATGGGAACGATAACATTGGTACTTTTGTTCTGCTTCCAACAAGTGAGTGGGTGCTAGTTTTAAGGAAAGTGCTAGATCTAACCAAGAGTATGAAGGTAGCGTACCAGCTGGCCTTACCGACATGAGATTCGGCGCTCTGACCAAGTTTTGGATCGACACTTGCATCAGGAAGCACAAAAATTGCGCTGGTACAAGGCCAGTTATAGCCGGCGAGCGTTGGTACCCTACTCGTCTGATTGAGCTGGGGAAGGGAGAAAAAGTTAAACTTGTGTCCACGAAAGGTCGACCATCAAACGAGTCGCAGATTAAGGGGTATTATGTCACTTTAAGCCATCGATGGGGTAAAGCGAGATGTTGACAATGCACCCGTCAATACACGAGGGTGGGTCCTTCAAGAACGATTTATGGCTCCTCGAGTTCTTCACTTCTGCCGAGACCAAATGGCCTGGGAATGTAGTGAGCTAGAAGCGTCAGAGAACTTCCCACATGGTATACCAAAATTCCGTCTCCACCTGGGCGATATCGTACACAAACCTCGATTCAAAAGAATTATCAAGTCTCAGGACTCCTTCCGCGATCCTGCCGACGAAGACCACCAACCCTCCGAGTCCCTTGTCGATAGAAAACTCTGGAAGGAGATAGTAAGCGTGTACTCCAAAATGCAACTCACCGATCCAGGTGATAAAGTCGTTGCTCTCTCTGGTATTGCCAAGATAATTTCCGAACGAATCGGCGATACCTATATTGCAGGTATGTGGAAGAAAGATCTGGCCAGTCAACTTCTCTGGTACGTCAATCCGGTCTGGGAAAATGGGAGGTTCTCATATCCCTCCACACGTCCCGGTGCCTATCGCGCTCCTTCCTTTTCCTGGCTGGCGGTGGACGCAAAACAAGGCATCATCCCGGCCGATATCGACGAGAAAGATCTATTGATTCAAGTCAAAGAGATAGACATCGGACTGTCAACAAAGAACGAGTTTGGACTAGTCAAAAGTGGCCATCTCGTAATTGTGGGATGTCTGAAGAAGATTGAGATGATCGATTGTACGATAAATGGGATATCTCGATATCGTTGGCACTTGAAACAGGGTTATCTATCCATCGTATCCGACGTTTTCTCTTGTCTACTTGGACAGCCCCTTCAGTGATTCGGATATCTGGGCCCTGATGGAGGCCTTTACTGTTTACCAGCGCTCAAGAGTTATGAGGGTTACACCATCTGCCTATTGCTGCAGCGTAGCAAAGATGAGCCATACCAATTCCGGCGCGTGGGCCTGACGAGGATACCGCCTTACGCCGAGGATACTCAGACAATTTTCATGTTGTCTGGAGACGAACAAATGTATGCTAGTTGGGATGCAATAACGCAACAGCATTCGATCTATTTTATTTGACTGAGGGCAAGCGTACCGCTACGTCCATCTCTTCCAGTGTCGAATAGGTACGGACAGTAACCAGGACCCAGAAGCACGACATCTTGACGCGACCACCAGACGACGAGATGACAGAGGAAAACGAGATTGATGTAGGTCTGACCATCGCTGGTTGTAAAACTGCACAACTCTCCAACAAGACTTCTTGCCCATTGTGCCACCCTATATTCTCGTCCTCCACCTCTGAAAAGAAGCTTTTCTTCCCTTCTTTTTTCTTTTGGCTTCTTTTCAGAGGTGGAGGACGAGAATATAGGGTGGCACAATGGGCAAGAAGTCTTGTTGGAGAGTTGTGCAGTTTTGGGAAGGCATGGGTTGTGGGGAAGGAGTTGTGCGGGGTTGAGTATTTGAGGAGAGAAAAGAGGCAAGAACTATCGAGCGGAGCACCAAGATTGAATTGATGCCAAGAAAATGAAACAGCAGGCACGATTTGGTGAAAAAGCTGTACTAAGAGCTCGCAGGCGGGAATGAGGCAATGTACTTCGTAAGATCTTACTAAATGTGAAGCAACGTTTCCATTACATGTTCCTTCGCGGAATCGAGCCTGGGTTCCTCCGAATATCGATATATGACAATTTCTCAATTTCAGTTTATAGGTACTAAGTAAAGCAGATAATTAACCACGCAGCTTGATTTTGTCCTGAGAAGGAACTGTGGCTTTTAATGTTGGATTTTCTCACCGGTGGTGGGACGCCATGCTCGACGCCACATGCAGCCTCATCCGACTGCATGCGTCTTGCTCCGCCACGGTGCGGATCTGAGCCTTCTTCCAAAAGCGAACTTCTCACGATGAAGCTTTCCTCACTGGAACCTGATTGACAAGTGGTTCTGAGAAGTCTGGACTCTGAAGTGAGGTTCCGAAATTTCCGATTCAACACTTCGACCTTGACGTGATACTGCACAGTCCACCTGCTTCAAGCACTCGACTTGCACACCGGAAACGGACAAGGCTCGGAGGAGAATAAACTCGTCTGGGGACTCGGACACTGGAAATCTGACTCGAAGCAATTGAGAGATGCATATATTCATGGCTCTTCGCGCTCGTTTGCTTGGTGGATCACCAGTTGCGACTTCAAATGCCACCGGCGTTCTCCAATCACCATCATTTAACTTCCTCTCCCTTCCACTAGACCTCAGACTCGAGATCTACAACTGCCTCACCAACGACTCCCACCCCGCACACCCCTGGGAAAGTCCGTTATACTCCTTTCTCTACGTCTCACGGCAAGTGAGGCATGAAATCGGACAACTCTTCTACCGGGCACCTGGGCTTGTCTTCCCAAATCCGCCTCGATGCTTGTCCTTTCTCGAATTCACGGCACCGCATGTATACTTGCTCACTTCGCTCGCGATCTCTGTGCCAGATGGAGAAATGTACGGTGTCGAGCCAATATTTCAGAAGCTGGTTGAAGCCGGTGCCCCGCTGACGACTTTGGTGCTCGACCTCCGGTGTCATTCGTTGAAAGAGAGCCGGGCGGGGGGTTGGGGTACGGTGGTTGAAGAAGTGGGAGCAGTTGGATTGAACAAAGCGCGTGAACACGCTCAGGAACTGGAGAAGCTGTACGAAAAGCATCGACGACAAAACACACCATTTCCCGAATCTTCGAGCCTTGGCGAGAATCCTAGTGGGTCATGGCTTGGGAAGCTCAAGACTGTCAGGTATCTATCAATTGAGGGAAACCCCTTCGGAAATTGGAAAACAGAATTCGAACTTGGAGTGTTAACATTGCATGCGAGAATGTTTGATATTGCGAAGATTGAAGGACAAATGACTTTGCAAAGACCTGCTTGGTATGGAAGTTGGGGAGATTGGTACTGGTTTGGGAGTGCTGAGTTGGCGAAGAGGGGGTCATTACCGGAGAGCATATCGTCTTTGATTTCTGCTTCGATGGGGTGAATCAATGAGCCCTGAAGACGTATCTTGAAATATGTAATTCCACTTCACGTAAAAACGAATGTATGCTAGCCAGCTTCTTGTCCTAGAGAATGCAAGCTTAAATCACAGCCTTGAACACTTCTCGACTCTCGCCCTCTCTTCTTAACCCCTCCTCCTTCTCGCAATCATTCAAATTGATACCCAAGCTGAGATCCATCGCCAACCCGCTCAAGTGCAGATTGCCGTCCCCGTCAAACACTTCCCCACAATCTCATGACTTGAGCTATCATCCCACCCGAACCAACTCGCCTCATAAGCCCGACACTTAGCATCCATCTATCCCAACGCATACCTCACATCCGCATTATTCAAATTCCCACACCCAGTCAACTGATCAATGCAAAAATACGCCAAAGCGCCATTATATTTATACCCGAGCCAGTTATTCTGTCCCGAAGGACTGGAAGAACAGAGGTCGTGGCCACCGCCAACCCAATTGATGAGTACATCGGCGGCTTTGTTGACGCCGGTGTGGTCCAAGTTGGTGCCCCAGCAGTCGACGCGGCGTTTGGCGATCTTGGCGGAATTGGTATTGGTGGTGATGACGGGAGGAAGAGTGGGGTCTGAGAGGGAGGTTGTGATTACTGTTCCGTCGTCTTTGAGGCCTGAGGTCCACATTCCGTCGGGGAGGCTGAGGGGTACTAGAATGGCTGAGGAGAGAGATCCAAAAGCGAGGAGGATGGGGGTGAAGAAGAGGAGATGCATGGTTGCTTGAAAGGTTCTTTTTAGGTATCTTGAGGTTGATGGAATGTGAAGAT